GATAATTTTGGAATACATTGCTTTAGTATTGCTTTTCAAAACTGAGTATAATCTATCCCTACCTGTTATCCAGAAAAGTCTATTCTAGGTATTTACCACTGAGATACTCTTACAGATACAGGGACATATGAAGATAAATTTCTCCCATTACAGTTTAAACAGTCCTCAGGTGAGGAGGATAGGTAAAGTTTATTCATAAAATGGAATATAATGCTGTAAAAATGAATAAATTAGTTCTACATATCTATATGTGTTAAAATGTCTACAACATGTAATTGCATTTTAAAAGCAAGTTAGTTTTATAAAATTTTAGATAATCAATATTAAATGTAAAACATTTGTAATATTATAATTTGAGGACATTGATTATGTCCGAAGTGGGAAGCAGAGAGTGGTAGAGAGCTAATTATAGCTATAATTTGTTCTTAAAAGAAAGGAATTCGAAACCAATATGACTACATTTACTATTTTCAGGTGGTTCCTTTATTTTTGAAATTTTCATAATTCAAATGAGTACTTTAAGTAAATAATCAAACAATACTTTAACCCCTCTATTATGGCACATTATTATCAAATTAAAAAATCGTAAGAATGTATCAGCAAGAAATACACCAATAACACTGAACTCCTGTGAATGAACATTTAGTAAAACAGCAAATTAAATTTTGCAATCACTATCTTTCCAAACTGTAACATAAAAGTACTAATTCAAAATTATAATTGCAAAAGTAAACTTAAGAAATTTAATGGATAGTTACTGCTAGACTTTGTGAATAAAGAATACAGAGCAAAGCAAAGATTATATGATTCCTAGCAAAGAATACAGAGCAAAGCAAAGATTATATGATTCCTAGCAAAATAACCTAGCATACAATCGAATGTTTCATTAATTTCTAAGTTATTCAAACACTACCAATGAACAGATAGTTCCTTTGGAATAAAAACCTCTTTCTAATGATTATAATTTAATATTTATATCATGATACACTAAAATATTAAGTAAAAATATGGTGGTCTTTGCCCAGTTGGGTTACCATGTAAATTTCCATAAACTGCAAATAGATCTGAGAGATAATCCTTTTTTTTGAACAAAGATGCACAGAAAGAGACATATAAAAAGCATCATAGAAGAATAACTGTAATATTCACTAAATTCACTGGAACCTCTTATCCTTTAAAAGTACCCCAAAGGGTAACAAGGCAAACTGAAAAATTTCAAGAAATTGTGCAACAATAACAAATTCAGTATCTGTAACTACCATAATTGTGGAAAGCTTATAATGTTTTTGACTCAATAAATATATGATTAAAAATACTTAATACTGTTCTTAGGTGTTAAGTATTATTTCATGTGAATCAGACACTTAAACCACATTAAATATTTCAAGACTATTCTACA